GCGAGATGTAAGGCGGAGAGTTGTAACCGCAGGACTGCTCGGTTAGCCAGCCAGTTCAGAAAACCCGAAACTGAGCCGTTTCACCCAGATTTTCAACCCAAGCGCGTCGCCGCATTTCGGTCCTCCGTCAGCCCGGTTTTTCGAACCACGTCGCTGTCGTTAACTCGGGGCCGAATTGGGCGAACCCCAGCGTTTCAGAAACGGCTTTACGACTTTCACCTGGTTCTCATCTCGAGAAAATCCCTACCCCCCCCCAAAAAAAAGTCTCGACACAAACCCCTCGAAACACGAACCCCACAGAAGCAGCCCGGCAGGCGGACCGGGGCGGACGCACGCCCGGGACCGAGCACGCGTGTCGGCAGGGGGGGGCTGGTGTCGACATCCCCGCCGAGCGCCCGAACCCCACTCACCTTCCACCGCTCCGGCCAGCCCGGCCGGGCCCAGCCACAGCGCCCACAGCAGGGCCAGCACGCCCCCGGCTCCCGAGCCCATGACGCCCGCGGCACAGGAGGGTGGACACCACCCCAAGCCGATCGCGGGGCAAAAGAGTCGCTGGAAATACTTCGGGAGAAGAAGTCAGCAGGAAAGGAGGGTCTCCGGCGGCGGCGCTGCCCGCATCAGGATGAGAGAGAGCCCGTCTCCCTGCCCGGCTCTGTCGGACTGATCGATCCAAAAGGCGCCGGGCGCGGTTCCGATTTAAATGCGGGGATTTAGCCGTGTTAAAGCGTCTAATCCCTCTTCTGCAAATCGCCGAGGCCGTTCGCCCGTGTCCTGTCACACAGGAGGGGGGTGAGGGTCTGTACTGGGGGGGGAGAGGTCGTTCTGTTTGTGAAAAAAAAAGTGCTTTTATTGAAAACCTGCAGCAGGGCCGTCCAGTCCCAGACGCGCCTCCGAATCCGGATTTCTCTGCCGTGGGGCTGCTGTTTTATCGTCCTCCCAACACGAACCCCCGAACCCCTCCAGCAACGCGCCCGAAACTCAGTCCTGCGCCCGGCGCGGGGGTCCCGGATCCACGCACAAGCGGACCAGCGAGGGAAACTCGCTCTTTCTCCGGAGCATCAGTTCAGCGCGACGGGCTGGACCGCCGTGGCTCCGCGCGCTGCGCCCTGGCCGCCCGGGCGGGAGGGGGGAGTCCGGACAGGGGCCGCGGCGCTCGGGGGTGTCGCTTCGTCAGCTCCGGGGAGCCGAGAAGCCGGCAGCTCGGCAGCCCCCCAAGGCGCAGAGAAGTCGGCGAGATTCCCCGGAGAGCGGCTCGCCAGCTTTTCAAATGTCCTTTTCAAAAACAAGCTTTCCGTCTGTCCGTTCGCTCTCTTCCTATCTTTTCTTAAGAAAAAAAATAGCAGGGCCACACACTAAAAAAAGAAGTTTTCGGTCCTCCCCCTTTCGTCGTGATTCTTTTTATAAAATTTGCGGTTGTTTTAGTTCAAGTTGTGCCGTCAGAAAGTTGGGCACCGAACTCGCGAGCCGTGCGCTCCGGGAAGCTCCAAACACGAGACTCCGCTCTGCCTCGCGCTGGGCAGCGCTCGCAGACCACAGGCTCCGCCCTCGGTGACCGCCCCTTCCCTAGCGTGGGACCGTAATTGGCTGGAGGCCCTGTCAACCTATGACTCCGCCCCACTAAGTACCGCCTTTCCCTCGCCTGCTGCATATGACTCGTCCTCAGAGCTGTCACTCCGCTGGTTGCGAGTCAGTAATGAGCTGTGTTTGTGCAGGTGGCCGGATTGTCCATCACTTCGCCTTTATCAAGCACAGCTCCGGACTTAACCCCTTAGTGCGCGTCCTGACAGCGAGTGTTTGTCTCCCTGCCTGAAAACACTTCAGGACACGCGCATTGCTGTTTTGGTGCTCGTTCGGTGTTATTTTAATTTAAATCTTATCTTATCTTAGTAACATTAAGAATACATTTTATCTAGGAGCTGTTTTCAACAAACTCATAACGATGTACAACAGAGGTGCTATTGTCAGAGGAGTCACAATATATCCAAATTGATTTTATACCATAAAATAGTATCAGGGTTATCGAATATATAATAAAAAAATGCAGGCGGTATTAGAAGCTTCAAGAGAAGCTATATAGCGCCTATTTCCAGGCCATTGTTATGGCTTTTATTAATTTCAATGGGAATTTCTACAGAACAGCTTTAAAGCGGCCGGTGCCAGACTCTCTCTTCTGGAATGAGCACTGATACTGAATTCATCAGCCGTCCGCCGCGGCTACAGCCCTCCGGCCAGAGTTACATCGCACTGTGCTCAGAGCAGAAACCAGCATCGGGTCCCCGTGGGCCTGGGATGTGAGATGTCTCAACGCTTACTGTCTCTGGACGGCACGCCTAGGACCCGCAGGGACAGCGCACTTCCCAGCCGCAGCCTGTGTCGGCCCGCTGGTCCCAATACGCAGGCTTAGTCTAAGCTTTCACTGACGTGACCACGGACGCCATAATTCATCAATTCAGCCGCTTTCGCCGGGCTGTCCGGACTCGCTCTTGTGCTTCTGCGGGTGGAGCTGTCCCGCCTAGGGCACTCTCGCGGTCACACGGCCAACACAGGGACAGCAGCTCTCTGCCTCCTCTAAGATCATCATCATCATCATCATCATCATCATCATAACCGCGCACCCAATTCAGGGTCAGGCTG